TAATTATTATTGTATTAAGAGAGCCTTATTGAAAATTGGTGTAACCCAAATGAGTTACTCTCTCTTAATAAAGATATTATTATTATTATTATTATTATTATTATTATTATTATTATTATTATTATTATATGTCAATTAGAGGCAAATAATCGTCAACAAATGTCCTAAATAGTTATGGTTTAACAAAAAGTATACAGACAGAATAGAGAATAATAGCCCAAAAAATAAGCAAACAAAATAAAGAATAGAGAATAATGGGATGCAAATGTATAAATCTAAAGACTTTTAAGAATTCAGAAATTATGACCCCTCTCCTCCAGACCCTCAGACAAGTGTCTATATGCAATTTATCAAGCGCTTAAATGCTCAGAACGTGGAAGCATTGAGTCTGAGTTTTACAGAGATAATCTCCTAAAGATCCGTCACCAAAATCAAATGTAATGAGAAATGAAAATATTGAAAAACTATTTAAACATGTTAAGGAAACAATACACAACGAACTACCTGACTTGGAACTGGCCCTGCAACATTAATATGTGGTGAGTAACTTCTTGTTAGACTTCAACGCCCCGCCCCCTTCTTCGATTCGATTAATTGAATATACAAAATATTATTAACAGAGTTTACAATCAACATCGGTGCAAAACATATCATTTCAGGATTCGAAACAGTTAACGTCACTCTTTAACCCATATTTAGTGAGCGTTTGATTGTCATATAAACCGGTGAATTTAAATGAAGGACTCGACCAAACATAGATGGTCTGCTTCATACCTGAAATGTTGTCTTTATATTGACTCTGATGGAGGTTGCAATTCTGAGTTTCTCTCAAGCGACGCAGATGGTTCAAGATGGTTGATATGGGTTGTTCTCTTGTTGAGTGTTTGCAATAAATAATGTTAATTTAAAACTTGACAGTTTACTTGAAAAATTTTTTTTGGGCAACCTCATTGAAAAATAGACCATGTGTCTACGCTCACTAGGATCTTACAACGTCATTCTACGTTTTGTTAATGCTTTGACCTAGAGCATCGCTGGACAGACACTAATTGTTGACATGCGCAGCTGGTGCTGTTAATGCTGTCAATGACCTACAGTATCATCTTGTTGTGTCGTATTGATACTCGCCTCCACTAATTTGATGGCTTAAATTTCATTGGCTGGTGAAAAAATAACCAGATCAGAAAGTACATTTTAGACCGGAGTGTTCTCAGATCCCTGTAAAGCGTTTGATTAATCAGATTTATTTTAGGCGACTGCAATGCTTCTTGTACATTTTGAAGTTTACGAGAATTGCAATGCTGTTACAAAATGCAAGAAGGGTACTAAATGAATATCCTCCCCTTTACATATATTTAGATACTAGTACATGTTTTTACATAATGATGAACCTATTCATACATGACATTTAGCATTGGTTGCTTATCTATAATCATAAAATAAATTTGAAAGTAGGCACATATACATTTATTATGTAACTGTGTTTTTTTTATATATTCATGACAGTTTAGTAAAGCGCGCAACGTTACTGTCAAGAGGGCCTGTTACTGATACTTTGTACAAAATGAAAAGTCTCTATGTTTTTACGATTTCTACTTTTCCTGTATATTTAATTATCCTGTCATTTTAAAAAATGTCAACATTTATATAATAATCATCGGGCATAAAGTGATTATCAGAAAACAGTGCCTCCGGCCTCGATGTGAACACCATGATGTACCAGGTTAAGAATGATTACTACTTCGACACATTGTTTATGCAGTTTGTGATACTTAAATATAAAATGTTAAAACTTGTTTGTGTGATGTCTCATGTCACATGTTATGAAATTTAAAGTTGTAAGTAAAATTGTATATTTTTGGCGCAATGGTTGTCGACGGGCCATTTCATCATTTGTGCCTGATGTGTTTTTTTTTTTTTTTTTTTTTTTTTTTTGTATTTCCCTTTCTTCGTTTGATTTTCTTTGTTTGTTGTTGGTCTTTTATTTGACTGATATAATGACTGGTAGGTATACAATGTACACGTATGAATAACGCAGTCAAAACTTGAAAAAATTACTGTTGCGCAAGAATATCTTTTAACAGTACTAATAACACACATGTGTTTGAGATTGAAAATAATATATGAGTAAAAGGTACCGAGCCCTGTTAGTATACAGATAAAGAGTTGTGGTTTTCAATGGCTAAAATGGGATGTTGCATGTCGCTGTACATGGTCAATACAAAATAATACTAGAGGTCTTTTGGTGGGGTTCGCGTTACTTAGTTTTCTATAAATTGTTTTGTGGACTTGTTTTCCTTTTTTTTTTTTTTTTCCCTTCTTTTTTTTGGGGGGGGGGGGGGGGGGGGTGGATTGGAGGAAGGTTTGCCATTGCGTTGTCAGTTTCTCTTTGATTTATAGGATTTAGTTGTCTCCCCTTAGCCTGTTTGTATTACATATTTAGGGTCTTCGTATTTTCCTATATTTGTTTTTTTGGTTTATAGGCTGTCCATTTTTAAATAAGTTTTGGATTTTCAAATATTTAAGCCTTAGGCGTTTATTGTCAAAATGAGCATCTTGTGCAGAAAAATTGGTACCGTTAATGTTAACACAGAGACAATGTCAACTGGTATAAATCGGGTAAAAATTATCTGAATGCAAAATCATTAATAAAAACTTGGCAATCAATACGAAATGTAAAAAACTGAATTCTTAACTATGTTTGAAAAATCATTAATGAAATTTCTTAGCCCATGTAGGTATAAGAAACAATATATAAAGTTGGAGCCTAGCCATTGTTTATGTCGTCATAAATAACAATACTAGGTTAGGACAGAGACAGTAATTTTACCTCACTATATTAAACTTGTGATGCGGATAAGGTTCAGTAATGAAATGATTTATTCTTTCTATGACGGGATGACGAACAACTAAACGTAAAAATCATATTTTATTATTAATAAAACCATTGTTGGATATAGACAATAGTGTTAATTGTCAGGTGTGGAAATTCTATTGTAAAGGTATGTACAAAATTGTAACATTCAAATTTCAATTTTATCAATGAGTTTTATTTTAAATGTTTACAACTGTTTGTTAGAAAATCTTTTATATTTTTTTTAACTGGTTATTTCCATATTTAGTAGTATATCAGTTTGTTAATTCTTGCTTGAAGAAATTATATCAAATCTGAAAAAATAGTTTTACTACAATTTACTAATGAAGTTGTGCACATACGTTATACGTTTTTGATCTGAGCAAGTTTAAGGTTTCTTATGTCAAAACATGGACTTCGCCATTTTTGCTAATTTGCGTTCAATTTTCTTTAACCTGAATTATAAAAAAAACAGCTTGGACTGAATCGGTGTATATATGAATCCTCGTGTTCGTCCGTAATTATTTCCACCGGCCATACTTTTGATTTCCAGATGATAAGGAGAAACCCGTTTTTTGAAATTATTTAATAATTGAAATTTTAATGGAAAAGTTTGGACCACTACAGACAGATTATATTCGAATATCCTCGTTTTCACTTACAACGTTCAATGGTTTTGGTACTTGGACGTTGGAAAAATTCAAAGTTGTGTGGTTTCCAGAGGATAAGTAGAAAACCTCTTTTTGAAATTGACTGGAATTTTAATTGAATATTAAGTATCACTAAATAAAATCATAATCTCTCAGCTGCTGTGAGCGGGGGTATGTGTGATCACTAAATCACCTATCTTGTGCTTCTAAAAACTGAACCAAGTACGGACCCCTCAAGGAGATAATGCCGGTGTTCTTTAACGCTCAGAGAGCTTGGTATTACCCCTACATGAGACATCTAATTGAATGTTCTTATTCCGATTGGACTTGGCTTTGTATTTATACATATCGCATAACCAATCGGACCCTCACCGATAGCGATGGTTTCATATGGGAGAAAACCAGGGGTTACTATATAACTATACTCCTGCCAACCCATGGAGAATAAAATAAAACAAAAGTAATAAAATGCTGATGATGTTGATGATGATGACGATGACGATGACAATGACGTCGACGGCGATGACGATGATGGACAATCAAAAACCAGTCCGAATTAAAAGAGTCCAAGAACACCGTTGCCGAACTAAAAATGACGAACAGGCAATCTGAAATATCCTCAAACCTTACACATTAAAATTACGATTGAGCTTTGCAAACCCCACCCAAAAAGCAGATTATTATACTTTTGCTCTGGAAGGATAAGCATTTCCTGTTCCACTATTATTCTAAAATAAATCACGTGACATGCTCGAAACATTTGAACAGTGATAATCGAAAATGTATTATTCATGATATTCTATTCCCATGTTAAAACGAGTTAAAATGTTATAAGCACCATAAAGAGTTTATCGTCAACTTTTCCTCTTGTTTAGCTGGAAAGCATTTTCATTTGTTGTAATATTTTGGTTGCCCTTTTCTCTAGGAGCACCTGATCATAAAATAAATGAAAACTTTAAAAACCGTTATAACAAAGGGCCAAGAACACAATCAGATGATGAACTTTCGTTTTTATTATAAAACTCGGTTTGAAGTAAATACGATAAATTTTTCTGAATGTTCTCCATTTTTACATTAACATCACCTTCCCTTTTGAAGAGGTTTGATAAACAATCACCCAAAAATAATTGTTATATTCTTTATTTACATCTAAATTGAATGAACAGACTTACATAAAAATGTGAAAACACATATGCATGTATACATGTATAGGGATAACATGTATAGGGAGCACCTGAGATCACCCCCAGTTTTTGGTGGGGTTCGTGTTGCTTAGTCTTTAGTTTTCTATGTTGTGTCATGTGTACTATTATTTGTCTGTTTGTCTTTTTATTTTTTGGCCATGGCGTTGTCGGTTTGTTTTCGATCTGCGAGTTTGACTGTCCCTCTGGTATCTTTCGCCCCTCTTTTTATGAAAAAATTATGTATGTATAATGAGATTGTTTTCTTTCTATTTTGATAGATAGTTCTCAAATTACTTGATCAAAGCGTTGAAATATAGTGAACTGAAAAATGTTTCAAAAAAATCCAAAAGAAAAGTCATCTGATACAGTCGACATGGCATTTGGAAAACCGAGAAGACGAAGTTCGAGTGTATCTATATACAAACCCGATAAAATGACAAGTCCTGTCGTTCGACAAAGACGAAGAAGTTCAAGCATTTCAGTGCAAGCGAAATTGTCCGCTGAGGGTGCACCAAGTCCTTTATCAGGTGCATACAAAAGGCGTGGCAGTACTGTTTCTTTGTCTGCCGATGGTGTTTCAAATCCCATGGGGTCGGGGTACCGAAGACGAAGTTCCAGTATGTCACTTCACGACCTAACGAAAAATGTTCATAATATTGAACAATTGCAAATGTTACATGCTGTATATCAAGATGACACGGACCAGGTTTGGGAATTACTCAGTTCTGGATCTGATCCAAATCTTATCGGGAGTGAAGGGTCGCCATTATTGCATATAGCAGTTGAAAGCGGAAATGAAGAAATGGTTAAAGTTCTGCTCAGTTCTGGTAAGTTTAGAACCATTTTTGACATTGTTTTTGTTGTTAATTGACTAAATGGTTAAAGTTCTGCTCAGTTCTGGTAAGTTTAGAACCTTTTTGACATTTTTGTTGTTGTTAATTGACTATCAACATACTATACTATCGTTGATTGTTTGGTCTAAAACATTTCAGAAAGAAAAATTAAAAAAATAAATTACCTCAACTTTATTTTAACTCCAGTGAATAGTTGTCTCATTGTGAATCATACCACATTTCCTTATTTTTATAGAAATTTCGAGAACTTCAATATTCCTGACAGAAATGAGTTGCATCCCTATAATAACTACTAGTAATAAATGAACGTAAATTTCAATCTTTGTATAACCACTTTTCGCTGCATCAATGAACTGGTCTTGTGATAGACTGATGTTACTTAAATCAGTAAATCAGAAATACTTTCATATAGCTCTAACTTTGGCCCCAAAAGGAGTGATCATCGCTTCTTATACTGTTATGTACTGGTTATGGCGGCAGCTTTTCTGGGACAATACTTGTTTAGTATCAGTAGGCTTAGAATATAAGTCTGTGAATACCATGCCATATGTTAGAGAGCTGGAAGTATCAAGGAAGGTGATTTTGAAATTAGATCGCACATGGGTAAATTTAATGCTTTGATGTATGTTGTTGGCATGAGTGATACATGTATCATAATCTTCGTCACTTTTATCCATTTCATATCCACGTCATCAATGTATCAGGATAGGTTAATGCAGTTCTCTCTCTCTCTCTCTCTCTCTCTCTCTCTCTCTCTCTCTCTCTCTCTCTCTCTCTCTCTCTCTCTCTCTCTCTCTCTATCTATCTCTCTGTAAACAAGAATATTAAGAAACAACAAATTATTGTCACGATTGCCTGTAACCAAAGATGATAGTTGTAAATAAAACCAAATTCTTTTTATCTTACTAACTCTTAGCTTTAAGATGTTTAGTGTACCAGTTACAGCATGTAGTTTGAAATGCTTCATTTATTTAAAATACGACAAAAAAGCGCAAAAATGGTGCTTTCGTATTTTTGTTTTTGTTTCAAAGGTTAAGTATACTTTATTGTTTGTCTCTTTGTTAAACTTTTATGTCATGAGAATAAAAGCAATTCAACCTGGAGCCAACCTGTTAATCAATGAAAAATTTTGAAACCTATCTATCTTATTGTATGGCGTGTAGTTTATTTTTGGCGGTCTCATCGAGCTACATGTACTTACGCATTACTTTTGTTGTTTTTGTTTTTGTTTTTGTTTATAAAAGGAAAGATAATTTAAAATTTTTAAAAAAGACCAAAGGGAGAAGTCTCCATGACAGACTATTTTTTGCAAAGCATGATATAGGATTTATCATAATAAAGGAAATGATGAACGTCCTACACAGGATCTGTATCCTCCAAGGTTTACGAAATATAAAGTTTGTTACATGTAAAAGCATTTCCTAACGTCAGAAGAAAATCTTCTACAGTAACTAGAACAATGAATCATATTCGATGAATTTGTAATTCATACAGTGTTAACTAAACCTTTACCTCCAAGGATGCCATATCGCTCACCATACTTTATGCATGAATATTTTTTGTGCAACTTCTAAAAGGGGGAAAGTCCTTTGGCAGTTATATTAGATTACTGAAGAACAAAGGGAAATCATGACAAGTTTTCCTCATACCAACCATACCTTAAATATTAAAATCAAATAGAAACTATTTAAGGATGTTCGCTCCTCTTGTTTTTGAAATTTTGCCAGATATTCGGAATCCTCTGGTTTTGTCCATGTAATGCCAATAAAAATTTTACCAACTAACCTTTACTTTTCTTTTCATAATTTGATTTCATATAGTTTGAATCTTATAAAATCCTTGTTATTTTTTCATAGTTTTTGAAATAAAAAAGGTGCCAAAGTTTAATGTAAGAAAAATCTAGAGAGAATTTTTTCCCGCCAAAATTTCAATGGCTTATATCTCGAAAACAAGCACACGGACCCTTCATTTTTTTCTGCTAATTTAGTTTCTTTAATTAAATACTATCAATTTATAACAGTCTTTTAAAAAGCTTGTTATTTTGAAACAGAGTAACGAACATCCTTAAAATTATTTCAATCCTTACTATCATAGCCTAAAAGTCAAATATATTTTTTTCAACAACAAAAATGACATAGATTCTCATTTCAAACTCACTGGTTATATCACGGTACGATTTACTGTGGAACTTCAAGGGGCATTTTTCCGGAATAATTAGAAAATATAATATTATATTTTCAATATCACCCCGTATTAACCCATGATACACAAAATGATACCAAGAGCTCTGTTTTAAAAGTAAAATAACAAAAACACCTAACTCCAAGGAAAATTCAAAACGGAAAGTCCCTTACCAAATGGCAAAATCAAAACGAATGGAAAACAACTGTCATATTCCTGACTTGGTACAGACATTTCCTTATGTAAAAAATGGGGGATTAAACCTGGTTTTATAGCTAGCCAAACCTCTCACTTGTATGACAAACGAATAAAATTCCATTATATTGACAACAATGTGTGAGCAAAACAAACAGACATAATAGGTAATAATTTCAAAATTTTTTATTGAAATGGTGTATGATATCGAAAAGGCCATATCAAAAACAAATAAGAAGATATGTATGATTCCCAATGAGAAGATGACGTGGAACTATGGAACTATGGGTCACTGTACGGCGTTTAACAATGAAATAACCTTATACCGTAAAAATGATTTAAAAGGCCCGACACCAATTCAAACGGGAAAACCAACGACCTGATTCATGTTAAATACAATAAACGAAAAATCCAATATGATAGACAGCGACCAAAGACAGTCACTAAATTGCAGGTTTCTAACTTGTGACAGGCACATACAGAATGTGGCGAGGTTAATATACATGTTACCCTCCCCTGACTTTGGACAGTAGTGTAGTTCGATCGACACAAAAACAACAATAAAAAAGATTAAAGACACAAAGTACCGATCTAAAAGTACTCACTTATATTGAAAACTAGTTCAAAGCCTATTACAACTAATAAATAGATCATGTTTCCAAGACTAATTTACGCTTATTAATATTTTAAAAAAGATTTGTTTTCTGTTTGGAATTATTAAAGCCTTGTATAAAAATAAGAAGATGTGGTATGATTGCCAATGAGACAACTCTCCACCGGACATCAAATGAGACAGAAGTTAGCAACTAAAGGTCAATGTACGGCCTTCAACAATGAGCAAAACTCATTTCGCATAGCAAGCGATAAAAGACTATATAAAGAGCAAGATAAAGGCTAAATGATAACTGTAAAACAATCAGAACGATTATCATTGATTGTGATAACTCAGAAGTAATCTTCAGTTATATCTGAGGAGATTTTATCCTTTTAAGAAAAGTGTCTTGAAGTCAGATCTCTGGTAGTCAAATCATGTGTCAAAGTTCAAAGGATTACCGTTTATACGGCCAATTCAAAAAATAAAAATAAAACTCCATTATGCAATGCTGTCTTGTTTTATTGAACAATGTTTACACTTCATGGTTGTTTTTTTTTTTTTTTTCTTTTCAATTCGTACATGGCCTTTAGTTATACACTTTATAAAAGATGTCTTGTGTACCATTTAAGATGCTATAAACATTAATGTCCGACTTCTTTTCTCGGGCTAAATATGATACCTATAACGTTGTGATACATAGTTTCTATATTTAGACCTCAATTAATTATGTGCTTTTCCCCAATCTATGGTATATCTATTTGGCTTACAAATTACACTCTAACGGCATTCATATGACCTTTTATTCCTACGTAGCATGAATTTTCATTCACCCTTCCTGCACACACAAGTGTTGAAGTATGAGCTCAGGTCGGTTGAAATGGTTTGTGATAGGCGGCCTAGCTTTCTTTTACACGAACATATCTCTATAACCATTTACATTTGTTTACAAGTTAATAGAGTTGGGTTATTGTTAACTTAACATATATTGAATCTTAAATTTTAGATTGTTTCTCTTGAAATAAATGAATATGAATGAATTTTATTTACGAAAAGAATGAGAAAGAGTGGGTTTTTTTTTTTATAAATTTAGTCAGTCCATTCGTTTTAGTGTCCATATACTAATCAATGATAACTTATAACATTAACGGTACCAATTTTTCTGCACCAGGCCACATTTCGACAATGTATGTCTCTTCGGTTATGCTCGAGGCCAAAATATTTGAAAATCCACAACTAATTAAAAAATAAAAAATGATGAGACAAATCAATTTTAAATGTCAATTTGTAATGTCAATTTTTTCTATAGAAACATCGAACGGAGTCCCATGACTCTTGAATTTAAGATTTGTTGTTTGACATCGAAAGGCAGAATTTGTAGACGGTATTAAAATTATATGTACATGTACCTTTATGAACACTTGTTAGTTTCGATTAGCATCAAAGAACATATCCCTTCATTTTCTATTAATAGAAAAAGTAAAAAAAAAAAAACCAAAAAAAAACACCGTATAATTTAGAATGGTCTACAATGCTTCAAATGACATAGTTGAACCCATTTTTGGTCAAATGAATAAATTTATTATCGAGAGTCACCTGTTTTATCATATTAACCTAGTAGCCATATTCATGAATCAAGAAAATGTATAAACACGTATCAGGACTTTATGATCGCCTTGTCCAAATATCAATTAATAATCCATATTTATATATATCACTTAAGGTGGCTCACCCCAATAAGGACCCCCGGTAGATTTTTTTTATTTTCACATATTTTGTAGATTTTTTTATGCTGAATCCAAAGATGCAAAGAAAAAAGGGGGTCACCAGGCTCGTTTTCCCCTCAAATGGAAGCGAAATGTGCGATTTTGACCCTATTTCCAAACTTTTACACCCTTTCAACAATAACGACTACATCAAATTCAAAGACTTTTAGAACCATGTCAGTATGATTATTATGTGAAAAAACAATTAAATTTGAAATGTAAACGTTCCCCTTGGTTGT